GTGTCACCAAATACGGATTTTCCTGTTCAGGAATTTTATTTTTTTTGCGTTTTTAATCGTAAAAAAAACTCATCGATTTTTTATATTTCAGGATTTCAACTTTTCTGGGCAATGTTAAATTAGACGAAATCGGTGACGGGGAAAATTGATTACAGTTCAAGCTATTTCGATAATTTATCGTTCAGAACGTAATAATAATCGCTAACGAAGCGGATCGATATAATAACTACGAATAAATTATTCGAGCATTTTAATGAGTGATTATTCAAAGTAACTTTATTCGAAATTTTTAACCGGTTAAAATACTTTTTCGACCGATGAGGAGGAAAATTTAATAATCGAAGTTACTTCGACAATTTATCATTAATATTAATTGTAGGCAAACGAGATGAATAATAATTATTTGAATAAATATTATTTAAAGTGACGAATTATTTTTAACCAATTACTTTTTCGACTAACTCTGTACGAATCTAAACTATCTAAATCTAAAACGAAAGAAGAGAGATTCAAAAATTGATCGTTTTTCAATTTTTTCGAAACAAGGAAGATAAAGAAAAGAACTGATTCGAACGAGTTAATTATAATAACTATTAAAACTATTAAATGTTATTCGAGCATTTTAATTACTTTAAACCAACTCTATTCGAATTATTTTTAATTACTTTATTTTTTCAACCAGTTATTACTCGAAAAGTACGAAAAACGAAAATAAATGTCACTCTTTATCTCTTCGTTCGAATTATTTTCAATTACTTAATTTTTCTTCAAAAAAAAAAAAACGCGAGACAAAACTTCTATCATTCTCTTCTCGATAATAATTCAATTCTCGTTTTTCCCTTCGATGGCGAAGAGAATCTTCTCTGGAAGAAAAGAAGACGAGAAAACAGAACGAGATGACGAGACGACCGTTCGCTTTTAAAACGATCGAGTGGAACCCTATCCCCTCCCTAATCGACAAAAGTATATATATCCCAACCAATAGCACAAGCTTTGTAGTAGCCGACCAATTCGATATCGTCCATTAATACAATTATCTCATAATTAGTCGACCAATGTCTCGAGCGAAAAAAGCTCTTCGGCCCGCTACCCGATTTCTCGAGATCTTCGATAACATTTCTCTTCTCCGGTCTCCTATTTCGCTTTACGTCTCTCTCTTATCGTTGATTTTTAGCCTTTACGGTAACTATAAAACTGCTTTGCTTCTCAACGAAGAAAGTGCTCTCTCGAGCTCTACTACGTTCCAATTGAAAATGAACCGTTTGCGCTCGAATGATGACTTTCCCCCACCACTCGATTCGACGCGAGAGGCGACTCTTCTGCCACCACTCGGTTCGATGCGACAATTCGAACGATGACAATATTATATGCTTGTTCTTTTTAAAATATCGCTTCGCGAATAGATTCCTAAGCTGTTTACGTGTAATCTTGCGAAGCGTGGAATGATATATTATGGAATTTTTTTATTTCAAATCGTGATCCCGGATTGAACTACATTTTAGTCGGTGAATTTGACAGTCTTAGGAATAGAAATATTATTTTCAAAGTTTTTTTGTAATGAGTTTGATTTTTCATTATTGAATAACAAAATTATTTCTATTCGTTAAAAAATTGATGATAGAGAGAAGGAAAATAGCGACGAAAATAATAAGAATAATAGACAATGAATGTGTGAGAACACATTATTGAAATTATAAGGTTTATTCTAAACGAAATAAGAAGAATTAAAAACGACATTTTATCGGGATACTTGCCCCGACGAACCGAGGATGCATCTTAATAATTACAAAATTAATAATTATCAAAATATCGCGCAAAACAACAAATATAGACTTTAATATCCCACAAATTTTCTTTCTTTATACGTAAAGCTAAAATATTAAAATATACAAATTTTATCACGTTAATTCGCGTGTGAAATAATTTCAAATTAGCTAAGAAATTCATCGAACGGATACGGGAAATCGTCTCGAGTTTTATTTTATCGGAAAAAGACTTGGAACGTAAAGGGTTAATCAAAAGGAGAGAGAGATTGGACGAAAATGAAAATTTATATCGCGATACTACATCGATGTACTATCCATGAATTCCAGGAACGTATCTATCCGTGTTATTCGAGGAGGATCCTCGAAAGGGATACGGACAAAGGTCACCTGAAAAGGGTGAGAAACGAGTAGAGGGTGTAGCATCCACTCGAGCACGTGCTGCGTTCCACGAAGGAATTCTCATTTGCCTGCACGAGAAGAGCAATCCCTGCCCCTATACAAATGGAGGGGGAGGGGAGGGGGTTATGCAACGCTCTCCACGAATATTTTCATAGCTGTGCAATTCGACAGAGTGAAAAAAAAAAAAAAAAAAAGAAAGAGAGAAAGAAAAGGATCGGATTTCCATCCAGAGATCGAGATCGAAATCCCTTCGTTTTTTCGCTTCTCCTTCGAATTTTTCACAACGAATTTTCCAAATTTTAATTTTTCGTTAATGCAACTCCCCCATAAAAAACCAAACACCTCCTAAATCCGATCTATCGATTTTATTATATACGCATACAGACTTTCCTCCTCCTTCTCGTCCACGAAAGATAGCCCTCGAAACACGACACGAAGCTTTATAATAAAATGTTTCGAATCGACTAATCAAAGGCTATGGGCGCATCTTTGGAGGGAAAAGGAGCCCAGGCTCTAATTGGGAGCGCATCGTCGGCAAGCATTACGCATCCGTTGAACGGATATCACACTCGAACGGAGCGATTCTATTCCCCTCACCCCCTCGCCGGAGGTGATCGCCGGACGATAGCCAGGAGGGCCAGATGTTTCGAGGGACGATGACGGGTTAAGATTCTCGATCAATTTTTATTACGTTTCAACAACAGTCGCGTGCCACCTTCCTCTCCTCCTCACGACACCCCTTTCTTCTACTTCTATTTCCTTATCCCTCCGCCTATCTACGCCCCCCTGTCTCTCTCTCTCTCTCTCTCTCCTCCTCCGCCTTTTTTCTTCTTCTTTTCTTTTTT